CCACAGTATGACATGAGCTACACAGATGCTGCCACGTGGCGCAGGGAGCTGTGCAGCATCTCGCTACCAAGAAATGTGTGATCCAAGACTGCACTGAGAAGTGTAACAGACGCCATGGCTGCAACCACTGCCAGCACCTTCTTAACACCCTCACTGCTATGCAGACTCCAAACCAAAGGATCTCGTTTGGGTAACAGTTCCGTCCACCGTGGAAGTATTTCCTATCAAACACTCATCTGGCCATGCTGAAATCTCTTTTCTGAAGCTTCCAGACCTTTCAGCATCCTCTAAAGGGAATTGGGCCTCCGCAGGCTGGGTAAGTGACAGATGGAACCAGTAGCTTGCCACTGAGCCACCAGCAGAGAAATGGTGGTTCTTGAAGTCAGTGTCAGTTCTTGTAAGGGGAATGCTCTCAAGGCTGAAAGGTGACAGAGATATCACAACAGAGGAACCACATCCCTTGATGCTGGCAAAGAACTGGAGGAAGGGGCCCTCCGTTGACTCTCTACTTTGGTCTCAACAGTGTGAGCTGGAGCTGTGGCTCAGTAACCCACGCTACATGGTCCGTGATGCTTGCAGCATCTTGGCACCCTTGCAGGGCAAAAGCTGGAGTTAGGGCAGGACAGGCCTAGTCTTTCAGAAGTGGTCACGGGGATAAAAGATCATGACTTTTCACTGGCCCAGAAGAAGAATTTAACAGAGCAGAGCTTTCTGTGTCCACAACTGGGCCGAGCATATTCACAAGAGGACTGTGATGAGTCTGTAGCTCTCTGCTCCTTTGGACCCCAGGTCCGGGAGAGAATTTCTTCCGTACATGCTCTCACCAAGGCAACAGAAATATTTGATGCAGTCTGAGTACACATGGGGTAGATACCTGGAATGCAGCTTTGGAAGAGGCATTGCTATGGTAGATAAAAGCTGGCTGGAGGGGAAAGTAATAGCGGTGGGAATAGATGGAAAGAGAAAGTAATGAACTGAAACAGCTTTAGATGTACTCCACCCTATGCAGCCATTAGCAAGGGAGAGCACAATGTCAGCACTTTATTTACGGAAACTGTGAACAAAAAATATCCCTGCTTGTGATATAAGGAGCATGTACATCTAAGAGTGTATCTGGCCATAATCACACCAAAATAGAACAAAAGCATATGCTGGTATACTATATTTTGTTACTTGTTACTTCTGCTAAGAAGTTCTGCATATATTTCAAAACAGGGCTTAATAAAGTAAAAACAAATCATTTGTTTTAACTGATTAAAACCTTTCCGTAACCTTGATGGAAATATTTCAGGGATTTTATATTGCTACGTAAAACAAGACGTGCATTTTTAAATGACCTGAACTAAAGAATTCTTTTAAAGTTCTGCTCTCCATCTACTTTTTGTTTGTTTGTCAATGGCAATGCTAAAAGGTGTTCTAATAGCCTAGAGAAAGAGATCTAATGTTACAGCTATGCACTGCATCACATAATTGGGCTACCTTATTCCTTAGTTTATTAATTTAAACAGAATAACCCAAACAGAAAAAAATAAGCCTCTAAACTAACACATTTGACAGAAATGAATAAATTTGAAGATAGCTTTATGTTGGAGGCAAAGCTTCCAGGAGCTGCTGCCTTTGTCAATACACATTCGGTATGGACATTCTATGAGGTCCGTAATGACAGTTTATCTTCAGGGAAAGCTGTACCTTGCCGAACGTCAGTCAGTGGAAGCAGCTGTGTTCATTTAGTGGGAGAGGCCTCAAAAGCTGCCTCACACTAGGGCTCTGCAGAACAGAGCTCTTTTCCCAGTAAAGGGAAAGATACTCCTCTGGAGCATCTAGGTGGAAAGGCTGCTGGGCTAATAGAGAAATCCATATACAAGTGGATCGTAGCCCTTCACCACAAAATTAATGAATAAGATGAAGAAAAAGCAGTAATGCTGTGAATTAATGATACTGAGTGAATAAGATTTTAATGACCCAATCTTGATACAGTTTAATTCCAAAAATGGTAAATTGAGAAATACATTAGAAGTACTAAAATAAACTGAACTGTGTAATGACCACTGCTTCCCAATAAATAGCAATGGCTGATAACTGTAAATATGACATAACATTAAAATAATAACCTTTATTGTGTGAAAGCTATAAGGGTATTTTTGACAGTTGTAATCACCAATACTCATAAAGAAATACCCTTTCCACAGTAAATAGCTCTTGGCGGGAGCCATTTATTTAAAGCTACTAGGAATATAAAAACTGAATTTATCTGAAAGAATTGATTCTGCAGGATTAGTATTGTAGCAGTTAGGTTCAAAATATGTGTCTCTGCACTTACTGTAGAAGAAACAAGCAGAGTGGTACTTGGCGTTTTGAGCATAAGCATTAAATCCACACAAACAATTTATTAGTTCCAATAAAATCAAAGGGTAAAGAATTACTCAAAATGAAGTTCTCTCTTTTGTAAGCGTAATTTGCACTTCAGCATAATTTCAAATGTTGTCCTATTTTCCTTAGACAAAGAAAACAAGAACCAGTCATCATTTGTACTTTTTGGATTATAAATCTTCTCCCAAAATTGCTGTAGCTTTTTAATTTCCATTTCAATCCATTACCATTAAGGGATTAAAAACGCTGATGGCTTAAAGTTTCTTTAAACTGCTTTCAAATTCTCAGTCACTGGGACATGAAATGATTTTCTAAAATGCAGATTTAAAGAGGAAAGACACTTAAAAAAGGCAACAAGACCCACAGAAAACCTGCTGCATATACTGAGGAGACCATAAAATAAAGATGCTATTTTGTGCCCAATTCACAGCCTCTCCAAAAGCCAAGGAACAGAAGCACAGGGAATCTTACCAAGCTGTAAAGTAGTAGGTACCTCTCGAGTTATCAAGGTATCTAAGCATGTGCCTAACTCTAAAGTACATAAAACTTAAACTCAGTGCACTGAAAATTCCTAAACACGTTGCTGACAATGGTCCATGGGATGGTGGTAAACGTCAACTATCATTAACATTTTTTGTGATCAAGAATCATTGTCAGCTGACACAAATACCAGATTTTTCTCCTTATACCAGTGGAATCATAAAAACTTGTATTAGCTGAGTCTGTAGCTAAAACACATCAAGCTCACGGACTTTTTCTTAAAAATAGCTCTATCTTCTCTGTACATGAGAACTAACCCAATCCCAAACTACCCTCACCGATTCACCTCATACCTCTGGCAAAATTATCACAGAATAACAGAATCATAGAATGTCTTAGGTTGGAAGGAACCTTAGAGGTCATCTAATCCAATCTCCCTGCCATGGGCAGGGATACCCTTAACTCCACCAGGTTGCTCAAGGCCTCATCCAACCCGGCCTTGAACATCTCCAGGGAGGGGGCATCTAAAATTCCCGAACAAACTTTTTTTTTTTCCTGAACATACTCTTTTGTATGTTTTCAGAAATACATAATAACATGTATGTTTTCAAAAAGACAAAGCTGAGACAAAGAAACGTGCAAGTCTGCTAACTTTTGCAAGGTACTTCTGGAAGGTTGGACACTACGTGATACTGCAATATTTGTTTGAACTCATATTCAGAAGCCTAGGAAGGCATGCTAGCAGCTCTCACACAAAAGCTGGATCAGATTGGAAGTCTGTTTATTTTTTGGCTAAATGGGGGGAAACGGAGGGAAGGAAGTCTTTGTGAGACTTAGCTTTCTAATTTGCTTAAAATATTATCAAACAAATGCTGTATTTTCACCACTATTTTACACATTATTCTACAGAACTCCAGAGATCACAGACAATTAACTCAAAAAATGAAAGTCCGTCTCACATGGGGAATGAGGAGAGGGCATGCTTGCTACAGAATATCTGGGTAGATATCTTTGAACTTTGCTGATTCTTCAACCAGACCAGTGCTGAGCCTTTGCAAACTTTTTGCTATCGCCCTCCGGTCGTTAACATCTTTTAAAGGATCATGATGACTAAGTGAGACCAAATGCCAGCTTATGCCAAGCCTGCTGGTGCTGGCTGCAGTTCTCACGCCCCTTGAGCTGTGCAAAGGGATGAGAGGCAGGGCAAAGTAAGGCTACCCATTATCGTGAGGCTGGAAAACACAATTGTGCATAGATAATATTTCACCTGATTTTTTGTTGCCCTTTATAGGACACAATCACCAAAAACTCAACTGTAAAACAACATATGCCATCTTACCTTCCAGATGTTCTGTTGTAACCAGTCCTAATGCTACCATGAAGGCAATTTTCTAAGGAAAAAATAAACAGGGGTTAGATTTTCTACTACCACAATTATCACAGAAGTAAATAAATAAATAAATGTAGCTTTCACAGAATAAACCTGGCAAAGGTCTTTTAGAAATGTATCTTATTTGAATGCATAGTAATATGAAGAACTTCAACTGAAGATTTGCTTCAGATATGACCAGTCTGTCATGTCCTGCTTGTATGACTACAGGAACTTTAGCAGTTCAGACACTTACGAAGCCAGGGCTATATGACTACTGGTTTTATACAGTGCATGATCAAAATTGAGTCAGTTCAATCAGTTAAATTTCATATTGTCAGCTGCTTTGTTACTCCACTCTTAACAGAAGTAATTGTGTAATCTGGCACTGCTTTTATTGGATGTAAGCAAGCTATAAGAAGTAAAACAAGACACGAAACATTTCCGCTGAACTTTACAACACCAAACAAGACATGTAAATCATACGGAAGGTCTCAACCCCCCAAAAAAAACTTTCAGAAATTTCTCTTTCCATGTTACAGAAAGAATATCATGTGCATGAATTTTGCACTGATCCAATAAGTTCCCTCAATGAGGAGTGAACAACCATCTCCCCCTGACACTGGTGAACTCATTTTGCAGTAAGGACTCTGATCTAAAATACTACTTAGAACTCTTGTACACTATATAGGCAAAATGCAGATCTTCATACTAACAAATCTTCAAAACATGACAATGCAGTAATAGGGCAAGTACTAGAGTAGATTCTAAATTTTCCGTCAGTGACTTTTCATGGGGATTTTTTTCCTTGCAGAAAACAAGTTTTGCTGAAGCTTTTATTCTATCTTTTTGATAGAAAACTGAAATTCTGCTGTGTTGTTCCAAGCTCAAACCGAACTGAACTCCTGGATTTTGAGTTACACCTGTGGGGCCTTGGGGATTTCTTCCTCCTTCTGCCGTGCTTAACAATCTTGTTGGATTATGTCACCCAAGTGGCATTTTCACAAGGTGCAGCTCCACAGGAGAGTCAATCTAACCATACAAAAGTCAAGCTATTAAGACGTGCAAGCGAGCAAAGTCCACAATCCAACTCTGACAAAGCATCCAAAGACCATAGCAAGATGCAATTATTATACTCACCCAAACTAAAATATAGTGTTTAAGTGGTAGAAGGTCAAAACAGTATGTTTCAATCAAAAAAGTGTCAGAAGAACACATTTCAACTCTTCCAAGTCAAAGTTAGTTTGACCTTCTTGTTTTGTGACATGCCTTTTTCATTGTGAAGATTTGTGACAAAATTTTCATGTCAGTTCAGGATAAAAATCAACTGGTAAGTCTCCAGAACTACCATTTCCTTTGCAATTCTGACATTCACACAGTGAAACTGGGAAAGCAAGAACATTCTCATTTTGCAGATGAAAAGTTCTAGCTATCGGGTGGGTTCTTCAAAACCTCAGGGTCAGGACTGGAAACCTATATCCCTCTTACATATGTCAAGCAGGTTAACTAACAACACAATAAGACAGGAATAACTTGTTTCCCTGGTCTCCTGGTATGTAATTTTCTCTATACATTAAACAACGGTGATGTCATATCCCATCAGTGGCAATTCAGGTCTATTCATGCTATATTTCTGCCTTCCATAACTGTGGTAATGACAAGCACATGTATTCATTTGCATGTCAGACCTTGATTTCAATAACATTCACTCCTTACATTTCTAAAACACCAGCTAGACGCAGTGGGGGCTCCACACCTGTCGGGAGAGATGAATATTTGATTCGAGATCCCCTGGGCAGATCTGAGAAGAAAATTACTCAACTGAGTAGAACTACAAGCCTTACCCCACCAAAAAGTAACTTTGTGGCAGGATACATCTCAGCACTCTGAGCAGAAGTAATAACAACGTTTAGGTGTAGAATCATAAAGTCAGAACGGTTAGGGTGCAATTTTATTTTCCCAATGGAGTGCAGAATGCCTGTATTACCTGATGATTAAACTGTAGGGGGAGCATGTATTTTCTGACATATAAAGTTATTTGAGTACTTGGAATGCTGGCTAAACAGTTTCCTCTCTTCACGCTAAAATTATTTGGATACCTAATTAAATGCAATGACAGCATACTTGCTTAACGTACAAGGAGCCTTTATAAATGGACTTGATAATTATCTCACTATTAAAACCAGAAAAGGTTAGCTTTTATAGATATTTGAAAGATGGTTTCTTTAAAAAAAAAGTCCCAGTAGAAGCTGTATTCTTTTTAAGAAGCATATTATATTAACAGCATATTTGGTTTTATGGGTGTTGTTATTTCACACTCACATAGCTTGTTGGATCTAACTCAAAATGCTGCTGTGACGCTTTTCTTTTCCATATCAGAGAGTCCACTGTTTCTCTACTGTGCAAGAACCCACAAAACTGAAGCTTCAGTGCCTCCAGATTTTCAATCCAGGCCTAACACTGGCATTTAATTCACAATTGCAATATGTCTCTCTTGTCCTTCTTAGGTGAGATTAAAAAAACACTGTTATCTAAATAAACAGCATTCATGGAAGAAATTTTTTTGAGTAAAAAACTGCTAGAAACTCTGGGAAAATGTTACCAGAAAGATAACATTCTATGAATATAAAACTTTTAAAAAGCAAAAGGTTTTGAGCAGAATTCTCTTTCTTTTCTGTGCTGAACTCAGGTCATTTTAAGAAAAAAAAAAACACACAAACAACCCAAATAAAAAAAAATAAACAACAGACAACCAAAACCAACCCTCAACCCCCTAGGCACTTGCTGCCCAGAGAAGCAGCTCCCTTGTGTAATCCCTTCATCTCCCACTCTTCCAGACCCTCCTCAGCCCCAGGAGGACTGACCCCTCATGGTTCATACCCCCCAGGAGAGAGCTCTGACCTCTGGACCTGGGACATCCTGGGTAGCCGAGAGCCTCCCCTCTGCTCCTGGGAAAGCCACTCCACAGCCAGGTGTCCAAGCATCCTGGCTGCAAGACAGCGGAGGCAAGGTCTAATGGTGACAGAGTTGAGAAAGGAGAAATCTTCAGCTTGGGCAAGAGGCACACATATTGCAGAGGGCTGTGCCCAGGATCAGCTTCATGGCTTCCGAGTGGAATGATCAACCCAGGAACAAAACACAGAATCACAGAATTGTTGAGGCTGGAAAAGACCTCTGAGATCACAAAGTCCAGCCTGTGACCCAACAGCACCACATGGGCCAGACCATGGCACTAAGTGCCACATCCAGCCTCTCCTTAAACACCTCCAGGGACGGTGACTCCACCACTGCCCTGGGCAGTGCATCCCAATGTCTGATCATCCACTCTGTGAGGAAGAGCTTCCTGAGAGCCAATTCGAACCTCCCCTGATGCCGTTTCAGGCCGTGCCCTCTCGATACAGGAACTATCCTCAATCTCTACTGTTCGATCAAGTACAACCGCATATGGGATTCCTGGCTACTGAGCAGGTCGTGTGCTCTGTCTGGTGGATTCTGGTTTATTTATTTTATTTCTTTCTGGTTTCTTTCTTTTAAATTTTCAGTTTAATTTGTAAATCCTAGTCTGTCATTTATGTAGAGCCATACTGTAGTTCCTGTCTCAGTTTTATGCTTTGAAGATACATAAAGGTGTGGAGAGAAGTGTCTCCAGGGCTTATTTTCTTCTTAAAAATATCACGGGATCTTTGTTACTCTTTGTCTTAAATTTAATCATCTGTTTAAAAGCCACTGAGTGCATTTAAAAATGCGCAGTATGTCTTTTCATGAAGCAAACCAAAGATTTTTACAAAACCATTTCATTTTGTAATTACATGTTCTATTTATGTCATTACATGTATTTACGCTAATTATGCTGTTAGTTCTAATTACACTAATTGCATAAATACATGATAATCAACTAAAGTTTGCTTTCAAAGAACAAAAGAAATTAACTCTAGACCTACATATTTACGGTCGTGATACAAATCTACGAAAAGAAAAGAACCATTGCACTTAAGGGCATAGCTTCAGCATCCTACCCAGGAAATTGTGTTTGCCGGGACCTCCAGTATCCAAAGTAGGAACAATATTCTTGGTTACAAAAAAAGGAAGTCAGGATTGTCTAGTTAGCAGTTTAATGCAATGATCATTAAACGTATGAACACTATACTAAGAAGTGTGCCCAGTCCTATGGTGTCTTCCTTTATCTCTCTGGAGGATTCTTTCTCAATATTCTTTCCAGGGGGATGAGTTACAGCCAAAGAAAAATGGATGGTTTTTTTAGCATTTTGTTTTTAAGCAGGATCTACGAGCCTTTTTGCTCATAAGGTACTACACAATAAATAAACTTCCAGAAATACCTCTCTAAACTAAACAGTCCCACCATTCAGTGGCAATGAAGACTCACACGAGGGTGAGACTTTTAAACTTGGGAGGTTTCCTAAATGTAACTCTGCAAAGCTTCTCCATAAAGCTGTGATAGTCTAGACTAAAAGCCACTATTTATCCTTAACACTGTTTTAACTATACAAACCTCTTAAAATGGTAAAATAAATGACGACTCACATGCCTCAAGTAACATTATAAATTTATATTGTAATAATCCTCTTAAACCTACAGCTCCAAGGATGCTCTCTTGCTACACATTTGTTAGACTAGTAAGGTTAAGATTTCATGAGCCGTGCATTTTCACAACAGAAGTACATTCAGTTTGTATAACTTCTCAAATATCCTCAAAAGTACACGCAATCTAATGTGAATGCGTCTAGTCAAAACCCAAAATGCCTGTTAAAGAGATACCCCATTTCTACAAGGACTTCCGATTTATATTTTTAGTTTGCGTTGCAAATAATAGTTCATGAAAGAGATTTAATCTTATAACGTGCTTTCTACTCTCCAACTCAGTTTGAAGGATTTTAATTTATTTCAGACTAGAAAGATTCTGTGTACCTGTGGGAAGACATGTACACAGCAAATGCAAGAAACTATTGTTAAATACAATCTAAGAATTGCAAGTTGCATTACAAAGAAGAGGTAAAAGCTCACCTTACAAAAGAAATGTTAATTCAACTTCATACATAGCCTGTAAACTTGGTTATATATTTGATATACCACTTTCACAAGAAATCTAGCTATACATATATACATATACATTTCATGAGCACAAATGCAGTAATTACGTATGCACACAGAAGAATGTTCAGAATCGACCTCCGTAACTTAACCATACCATAGCTCACTTATGGGGAAAAAAAAATAAAAAAAATCACCTCTGGATTCTCCTCCTTTTTCTTTTTGGTAGCAGGGGGTCCCTGAGCTGACTCTTCAGGAGGTTTCTTTGTCTCCACTTTACTTTCTGTCTGGGTTTGAACTTGAGGCTGAATAATGATAACCTAAAAGACAATGTACAAATAGAATAAGAGAATTCACTATACAAAGCTGGATTTTCTTGCCTGAAACCTTTGATTATTCTTTGAAGGGTTACTTGATATCCCTTACAGACAACAAACGCAAGTCACAAGCAAAAAAATCTTAAAAAATTGATACCTAAGTTAGGCTTACAGTTAAGTTTCTAAAAATTAGGATTTTTTTGTGGATTACAAACCTCCTGCAGCCTAAGGGAGTCACTTGATCAGTGCCTCTGAAAATTAGGACACTTTCTATTTAGAGGACTTCTGAAGCTGACACAGCAGCCTAGCTTTAGCACTTGCGTTATCAGTGATTTCAAGATCTTTCCTTTTATTTTATTTTGCATACAGGTAGAAGAGAGGGAAGTACTACACATTCAAAACTACAGTTTGATCTCAGTCATACCAGTGTTATTTCAGAGTAAGTACATGCAGATGGGAAGGAAGATCCTCCTCAACACTACTCATGTAACAGAGATCAGAGTTCAGTCCTCAGCATTTATGTGTTATCAGCAGTAGATGTCCAATTTTGCATAAACAAAATAAACAACATGTGTTTTAAATTAAAATTCATTCTGGTTTAGAACCTATAGGAATTACTACACAGACCTCTTATACATGCATGCATGCTAGTATACGGTGCTTGTATTTGAATTACTGCATGAAGACTTATTTACATGATGCAGATAGCATTTTCTCAGAACCTATTAAATTAAAAGGAATGAAGGACAATTTCTGACCACAGAACTATATATGTGACTTTAAGCCACAACCAAAGCTTCATGAAGAACTACAGAAGATCTTCCCAAGCTCACCTTCTTGATGAAGGATTTGAATATTGGGCCTTTTCCAACTCCTTTATTGCTAACTTTTAACCAACATTATTTAATTGTTAGTTACTTTAATTCACAGGGCACGTTATTCTCAGCTAGCACAGGGTGGCCTAACCTGTTTGTAGTGGTTTGACCCTGGCTGGCAGCCAGGTGCCCACCACAGCAGCTCTATCACTTCCCTTTCTCAAGCAGATAGGGGAAGAAAATGTAGAGAAGGTCCCATGGTTTGAGATAAGAACTTTTAATTGTAGATACTTTATCGCAACTCGGCCACTCTGGAAGATTCAAGAGCATAAAAAGGGATGGTTTTCTTAACCAGCAGCCAGTTTAAGAACGAGAAAACAGATTATGTTAGAGAAGTGGGGAAGAGGTGCCTGCTTTTATTTACCTCAAAAGCCATTCCACATCCAATAATCTTTTTCAGCACTGTATGAGAACCTTTGCTGCCAATAAGACCCCGAGTAGCAGGATTCCAGTAGCAAATTACAGTGAATGTCTGCTGAGTACATTGCTAGCCTGCCCTGAATCTGTTTCTGGTATAAGAGTGGTGAATTTCTTGCATTTCAAAGCTGAAAAGCAGCATAAAGAGGAAATAAGTAATTCATAACTTGAATTTTTCCTAGTGATTCATCCGCTGATCAGTTTTGAAACCCTGAGCTCTCACTTCATTTGGTGTTCCCCTGAAAGTGTAGAAGGGAATGCCTGACTATTTGATATATACTCGACACAACTAGTATCACTGTATAGTTGAAGAGGGAGTCCATAGGACATTTGAACCTGGACAGAATTCAAGTACATTATTAGTGAGGATTGGTTTAAAGAAATGGAAGATCATATGGTCCATTTATGTCAGGCTACATAATGATGCGTTTTGTCCCCACTTACAAACATGCTTGTACACAGATAAATGTCTGCTAGCACCCATGTGTCCCCTTTAGAATTGCCCCATTGCTTTCTGGCAATTTTCTTCAAAAGGAACCATTGACACCACCCTGAACAGGGCTGTGCACTATCAGGAGAATATTCTGCTTACATCTGCAATGTAATTCCTGTGTTTGATAACTAAAAAAAAAAGGAAGAAAAATCCCATGAAAATCAGAACCTACCTTGCTGTCGGCACTAATGAGGAGTGGTTGGACTTTGATGCTATCGTTGACCACAGAGACAGTCGCGCTGGTGCTGATAGGAGTTGCATTGTTGGGGGAGGTGGAAATGATGGCGTACGCCACACCTGCACTGCTCAGAGGTGATGAAATAGCTGTAGGCTCGGTGACACTTTGTGACTGGCTGTTAGGCGTCTGTACATGGCTGACGGTGTTATTGGCGGTCGGGAGGGCAGGGCTGGGGTTTTTGATGCTGACTACGGTTGCCTTCTGGAAGGTAGGAGGCTGCTTGGAAGGTTGGTCTCTGCACGGGGAGATAGGGAGGCTGTCTGGAATCAGAGTCTTTGGCCTAACCTACAAACAGAGAGTTAGACATTATTAGGCACAGCCTCACACTGTAATGAATCGACACTGCATACACGCACTCTCCCAGTAGAATCTCTAATTGCACTAACCGTGGAACAGGAGCATCTAGAAAAACATAATGTAGCAACCCGAAATAGCTAGCCATTCATTTACTTGTAGATAGATTCCCAGCCCTTCTCAGCTGGGTCATTTTGGAGTCCTTAACTCATTGCAATGCTGAACAAGAAGAGAGGAAAAAGTCAATTCCTCACTTTTATTAACACACGTCCATACAAATGCTACTCCAGTCACATTCAGTTCTCAGTAGGGATGTTTAAGCCAAAGCCTTCGCAAAGAATGGAAATCCCAGATACAATAATTTCCTGTTCTGAAGGGCACAACACTCTTGTTATGAATTACGGAGTAGGAATCAATTCATTAAGGGAGTTGTGGGAAAGCATTTACAGGTACAGTACGTGTATGCATTTATACTGGTGGATCAGTGAAGATCCTCACCTTTTTAAGAAGTGGCATGTCTAACGGAGAGGAGACCAATCTCCCAATCACTCAGCTCAACAGAAAAAAAAAAAAAACAGAAAAAAGAAGAAGAAGAAAAGAAATCCACAATCATTGAACTTCATATTTTGTTGCTGTAATTAAAGAGGTAGTTTGCAGCTGCGAGTGGATGTAGAAAGAACTTCCAAGGATGGAGGGAGAAACTGTTTGCCAAGATTTACGAAGGCTGCAGCTTTACCCAGAGCCATGAATGATAGCTGTGAACAATTGTTTTCAGCTAATGTGATGTGTTTCCAGTGCGGTAATTAACGTCACCCTGTCAATATGGCTGTGCCTTAACAACATGTTAAGTACAGTTCCAGGACTGAAAATAAATAATTTAAAACTGCTTCACATGAAGTTAACTTCACTCCCAGCTTATTCGTTAACACGGCCAGATAAAACAGCCGGTTCCCTCTGTGCTTATTTAGTCCTGTCACTTCTCGCACCTTCCATACTGTGAAACAAAATGACAAGTTGTAACAGACAGACATGGGAAACAGCTGCCTGTGTCACTGCACTGTAGTCTACAGGAGCCCTTCCAACCATGCCGACTTTAATCTTGAGCCTAAGTAAGCAATTTAATGAAAACATGGGGATTTACTGATGTGCAGAAAATCATCTCTCAAGGCTGGCCTCCTCCTCTTCCGCGCCGAAGAGGCGCCATACCCGTTTGTCCCTGCAGCGAACACGAAGTGCAGCAACACATGCATTGAGAGTTCTTCATGTTTTGATATCTCAGCCCTCAGTTGCCAATAGGATCCTACCACGAGTAGTACAAGTACGTATTAAAGGCACAGTCCTGCTCAGGAGCGTCTAGATGGTCAGTAACCATGGTAGATGGAAAGGGAAAAAAAAAGAAGAGCAAGGAGGAGAGGTTGCCCAACGTCTTGCAGTAGACTTGTGACAAAGCCAGGGAGTCACAGTGTTCGGCTCACAGCTTTGGGGTAGCACTGGAAGGCCTCACAGACCCACTGTGAAATGATGCAAAACTATGCTAAACTATGACTGACCCTATTCAAGATATGAAGGCAGTAACTGAAGGGTTTTTTGCTCTTTTTCCTCTATCCAATCACTTTATGTAATGATTCCTTAGGGATTTTTTTAGTTAAGATACTGTTAATACACCCTGGCAAAGTTAGTTATTTAAGGGAGGAGTCTATGGTTAGCTTCATATCCATAATTAGTTAATGGTCTTATCTTCAAAAGTAGTGCCAAGAGCACTGGTTTAAACCCATCTTGGTGCAGGCACTCTGCAAAACCAAGGTGCCTAACATAAACAAGAGCTCAGTGCAGCAGGACACGTACTTAAAGCAGCTTGTTTATATCAGTGTCAGTTATACAAGCAGACCTTGTAATATCTATTTTTGTATTTTCATACTAATATCCTTTCCTTTCTATGTTATATAATTATATAAGTTTCTCATAAGTAAGTCTTTAAAAAACTGCTCATATGCTCAGAGACATGTTCATAGAAATAGTATCATTATCCAGAAAAGGAAATCTGAGATGCCTGGCAAAATAGAGTTAAAATTTATTAACACGAATAAAACAATCAAAATTTAATATTTAGCTGTTTGGCTAACATCTCAATTTTACCATCTCTCCTTAAAACAAAATAATTTCCTTGTAAATTAATATAACATCTCTTACCAGCAGAATTATTGTAAACACACAGATAAGCTCATATATACAGAGAAAGAAAGAGAGAGAATCACAAGTAGTTCAGATCAAAGATTCAATAGGACAGTCATTGAGATCTTCAGAAAAAATCAAGTCTGACAAAAAATCAGCTCAGGAATTTTTCTAGCTAAAAGCTGACATGTAGTCTATCTGTCACTCCTAATTGTACTTTTATATTTAATCAAAAGCCTAATTAAAGCTAAATGTCTGTATATATTCCAGCTATATAATTATCTTTCCTACACTATTATGTATATACATTGGCTGCCAGATATTGTATCTCAATGAATCTCATACGCATTGTTAATACACATTCTGCAAGTTGTGAATGAATGCATATTATTTTGCTATAAAATAAGCTCTTCCTGCACAGACAAATAAACAGACTAAATTTTTCAGAGTAACATATTCTCTATAAAGCACTGCATACTGAAATATCTGATATGACTTACCAAACTGGTACAGCAAAACAACATATGCCGGGCGTTTTCTGCCACCGTGTGATACAAAGGAGGTATAGCTGTCTGCATAGTCCAAGCCTCTGAAAGTTCCCTGGCAAGCTCAGCTAACATAGTGAAAACATATTTATTTGCTGTTACAGAATGATAAAAAGGGCTGACTACAGAAAAAGTTTCAGGTGCACCTGACTTAAAGCTAAAATAAGTTGAAGTTAAAATAATGTTTATTTCTACAGCCCACAGGCATGAATCCAAATCAGAAAAAAAGCATAGAAGCTTGTTGTGCTCCAACATCTACAAATCTTCCCCTTTGATTATAAACACAAAGTGCACGCACTTAATAAACAGTTAAATGAAAGACCTTTAGCACAGTTTCATGTTAAAAAACTGTTATGGTAATCTGTAAGAATACCCGGTGTCAGCTGGAAAGAAAAAAGAAGAAGGAAAGGGCTGGCGTAAATTCCTCTTCCTCACGGCAAAACCGTAGCTTAAATTTGGTAGATGAAAGGAGGACAGTGGCACTAGCAGAAGTTGGAAGCTGATAGTCACTGGAGAAGAACTGGAGCAAAACTAGGGCAGGGCAGGGACTGCATTTCACATGCAAGGTATCATAAAGATGTTTTCTACCGAAAGTAGCAGAGGTTGGATGTCACCGGTCCTCATTACAAGAGCTACAGGTTCAGCACAGTTCAGGAAAAGATCAGCACAGGAGAAGAAAAGAGAAAGAGTAACAGACAGCTTGTATGTTACCAAGTGAAAACTGCAAGTGTTGGTGAGTGCTGCAAGTAACAATTCTCCTGTACCTCAAGCCTCCTCTCCTCAAATATCTTTCATTTAACTTCTGACAGCTGTCAAAACAGAATGTGATACTACTGGGGCTCTAAATCTAGGAGCTTCTTGAATACCATGATTTCACAAACCTGTGTTCTTGAGTCTCCTCAATACCCACAATCACAGAAACATTTTAGACAGCAATATTCAGACACACCTGGTACTTTTCAAGAAGATATTCCTAGGCCTGAGAACTCACTAGGTGGGGCCTGTTTTCCAGACACAGCAATAACAGGGAGCCCAGTCTTGTGAGTTGTGCAGCATGCTCTTTTGTTCAGCAACCTCTATTTTCATATATTTTAAAGAGTTTCAGATCAGCAGGGAATTGGCTCCTGTGACTAATACCACTTCTCATATATCCCATATCATTAAGCTCCATCCAGATGTCCCTATGTGAAGCCCAAAGGCTTCCATTACATTGAAACGTCATTCCAGCTCTCAAGAGCACAAATTGTTGAATACCACAGAGGCAAACAAACTGATGAGTGGTGGAGGTGGGAGAGCCTGATGTGTGTCACCATTGACAAAGGCAACTGTGATCATGGGCAATCTATTTCCTGAGCTACATCCCATCAGGTGAGCCGCTCGCATCCTGTAGTAAAGAAAAAGAAGGTGAAAAAGGAAAAACTCTCACAAGAATTTATGCCCTCAAGATCCAACCCAAGCAAGTATGGGGGAAAAGGAGGAGAAAGGAAGGAAATCACACAATTCCTTCCATCTCTGTGGGCAATCCTATGTAGTCCTAAAGGACAGGATTTAATTAGAACAGTTATCTCTGTGCAGATCTGCAGGTGCTATGAGAGTTGTTAAGGGCAATTCTGGTAAATGTGTTCTCCTTATGGCCTAGCAGAGAAGAGAAGTTAACAAGAACACTTAAATTACAAAACTAAAAGGGATCATCATGATCGTCCAGCTCACAGACTGGCCATAGAATTTCTCCTAGAAACTGACGACTGATTTGAAAAAAAAAAAAACAAAAACCACACCACTGAACACTTCTAAACGATTAATTCATCATGAGCCCCAATAAACTGTTACAGTATTTTATTACGTTCATGACTGGTATTTTATTGCAAGGTTGAATTTGCCTAACTTCAGCTTCCCGTCCCTGGATCTTGTTATAGCTTTGTCAGCAACACCGAGGAGCCCTCCCCCTCCCCAATATCAGATATCAGCTGGATCGTGCTCAGCATCAATCAGCCCTTCATACTGGCAGGGCCGATCTGTATGAGAGTAAATTTTTCAGCTCAACGCAATATCACATCGCCTTTGAGAGAAAGACCATTATTCACACTTTATTTTCACTTCACCCTTGTACTCAGAGCTTAAAAACAAAAACTCAAAATGGATTTGGCACAATTCATATGTCACAGAGGCAAAGTGCTGGGAGCAGCAGACAGAGCTTTCATTCTTGAAAAGCTTTAGAGGATCACACAGAAAACATTAGCAATGGCTGATAAAATGAGTGCAATATGGGGTAAT